ATAATAGTCATAAGTACCAAGTAAATGACAGAAACCATCTTTGAGAAAACAATCATTCAGCACGTATTTTGACTTTTTCATTTGGGCCATGTCCCATCCATTATCATGGAGGAGGCTGATGGTGAACCATTGAGTTACTGCCATCGCCCTGAGTGCTTGATAAAAAGAAAAGAAAAAAATATATATGAGAAGAATGGAATTTTTTTGGATTCTTTTGAATTTGCACATTCATTCTTTTCTAATATGCTACTTCTGCCACATTCACATTCAAACAGTGAATGAGAATCAAACATTCGAAATTATCATCGGACCAACATGACGTTCATATTGTATCCTGGTTGTTGATGGGTCACCCTCTTTTTCAGCATCATTATTTTTGTGCATTTTGACCAAAAACAAATTAGCATAAAAAGTGTGTTTCCCCCTCTAGCCATCCCTGCAAGTGTCCCTGTTGATGCTTTTCAATCAGAATTTCAATAATGGCTTTTTTCCCAAGGAGAGAGAAAGTATTTAAATAAACTATTCAGAGATTTTATGATTTATTTCAACCAATTACTCTTTTTTATATTTTATATTTTCTAACTCATCCTGAACAAAACTAGAGAAGTAACCTCCTCGGCCTGTATGCGGCAGCTTCCTCTGATGTGAAAATAGTCTTGCTTTGCCACAGATTAGAATAAAACACATTACAGTGAATGATTGTGTGCTCTTTGTGTGCGTGTTTGTGCCAGTGGATCTAGTAATAGCTTATATTGTACTCCACCGCCGAGACTTTGCACCAAGCTCCAACACACTATAGTTAGGTCAGTTAATTCGTGAACTCAGGCTCTCTGCATCTCTCTCTGTCTTTTTTTTCTTTATGTTTCATTTGTTAAAACTCAGGAAGTCTTGAGGCAGAACGAGAGTCCACAGATTGGATGCTTTTACAGATGATTCTTTTCAGATGCATGCTCCGTATGCACTGTATGACTAACAAAGACTTTTGATCAACAGAAAAGTCACAGGACATCAGTTTCAGTTTGATTTACTCACTGAATCCTCTTAAAACTTTGTCCAGCAGTGAGTGATGTGTTGCTTTTTTAACTTAAGGTGTAAATTCTATGTTATTCATCATCAAGTATCAACTCTCTAAACACGGAAGACCAAAATTTTTTCAATATTCAAGAACTGTATCGTCATTGTGCCCGGGTGGGAACGAGTGGTGAAGGGAGGTTTTTGTTATATTTGAAAGTAAAAGAAACTTAATTTACACAAAAGCCACAATTTATTTGACATAAGTGTTTCAATTGTTGAAAGGGCTTTAGTGTCCATCACGCTATTGGTCCATTAACACAGGAGAAATCTGATCATAGCTTGACATTAACTTCAGCTTTTTTTACTATTATATTGAAAACAAAGATATTGTTTCTATTTTCTGTATAAGCGTAGGAGTTTTGTGTTTTTATCAATAAATATCACCGCATTACTTTAACCTTCACACTGGCAGTGGTAATGGATCTCACAGTTGTAGACTACCTTGAAAAATAAGCTCATAAAAATGAAACACCTTCCTCACATTGTCTGTCTGGTTAAATATCCATTGCAAACCAAAATGACCTCTTTTAATACAAATTAATTGTAGTGAAAATACATTTTTTACTCAAGGACAGGAGTTTCAGGTGCATGGGTTTTCGTGTCTTTCAGTTAGTCATCATGTCTGTGCACTATAGATGTGTATTTTCCAAATACAAGCGAGTTAGTTACACTTCAATAAAAATAAACTTACCAGGGTTCCAGCTGTAAGTCCATTATTCATACAGTGTCAATCGCATAATTGCCCCTTTAAATCTTCTTGGTGATTTCAGGTTTGGGATATGAGCTCATTTGCAAAATGGGCCGCAGATCAAATGGAACACTGAGGGAGTCGTGTCATGTTTTAATTATCATTAAATAGGCATGTTACGTGCACGTGCACTATCTCACACTAAAGGAAGGGTTAATTTCTTTTTTTGATTTAACACCTCGGAGGTGACGCAACCCACTATTAGGAATTGATATTGATATTTGTGGTGTATGTGTGTGTGTGTGTGTGTGTGTGTGTGTGCGTGTGCGTGCGTGTGTGCGTGCGTGTGTGTCAGTGGCCTATTTTCAGACAGTTTTCTATCAATGCTTCTCTCGTCTTATTGTTCATGAGTGATGTGTGTGAAGTTTGTTTTACTTCTCGTCATCTCTGTGGAATAGACTTTGGAAAACAACACTAAATAGCTGCCTGTCCAATTATTATTAACAGCTATAAAATTACAGTCCCATTTTGTTCACAAAGTGATGAGATTATTTTGTCCTACTTATTAATTGGAGTGAAATTGGACAGACTGACTCACAGCAGTGTTACTGGAAGGTGTCAGACACAGAAAGCAGGTAATTATGGAGACAGGAAGAGATAAGGAAACAGAATGCAATTACCCTGGCAAGCAGAGCTTCAAATTGCTCTTCTTAGGATTTCTCACCTCAGGTTGCTATTGTTCATGCTTTGCATCTCCATGCTGATCTTTATTCCTTTACCCTCCAGCTCAAAGAAGAGGGATGGTTTGCATTAATTAAATGAATTTCTACTGTAAGTGGAGCCATGCAAGTACATAGGACGTGGATCACTGCTGTATTTCAAATGTACGTGTTCAAAAATGAAAAAAATTCAAAATGATTTTGCATGCATACATTTTTATGAGCACATAAATCAGGACCATCAGATGTTTCCATTGTTATTCACATTTCAGCCTGTGAGGATTTCTCACAATTTAGTTTAATTGAACTTTTGGGTTTGAGGGCACTCTTCAGACTGATTTCAGTAGTTTTTCATGAGGCACACTGCATCTATAATATTATTATTGCAGTAATGGATTCATATGTAGAATATATTTCCTATTTTAGGGATTGTATTAATAACAAACACAAACATATAAACCAACAAAAAAGCCAATATAACAATTCCCCTACCGACCCCTCCCCCAGTGTATAAGATATAAAGTGCAAGCTGCCGCTGCACTGTGAATAAAAATGTATATTTAACCAACTCTGTTTGTTCATGCTGTGCTGGACTTTTTGCTAAGAACAGACAAAATATAACTGCAACAACTGTGCTTTGGATTATGTAGGTTCGGAATTCAAGTGTTATTGCTGTTGTATAAGGTACAAGGTGTTTCTTACTTATGTCAGAAACTAAATGCTGCCAGGCTTCTGACTTGAAGCAAGAGGACAGGGGGTGGCAGGGGGTTCTTCTGCTCCATTTGCTCATTCTCTGTAGTGCCCATTTTGTTACTTTAGCCATTTGTTTTAGCTTTTAGGTGCTCCTTCAGCCTGTGCTGCACTCTCTCTCTGCAGATATACACACACACACACACACACACACACACACACACACACACACACACACACACACACACAGAAGAGCCAGATTTGAGAGAGAGAAACCAAGAGACTAAATGAGGACGAGTTCCTCTAAGATCCAGCCTCACATGTCTTCTTTTTTTGCCCGTATTATTAAAGTCAAAATATAAACATACAGATATCTTTTTTTTTTCTTACTTTTGATTTAGTTGCACATATAAGCTGGACATATATTGGTGAAATCTTGCAGCGAAGGGTGTTGTTAATGCTCAGAGTGACGCTCCGGGGCTGGATTTGCTACACGTGTACTCGCATTTACTGTGGTCACATATAGCGAAATATACCACTAATGCATGGGAGGCTGGAGGGGGAGGGGGGATCTGTCGGTGATCCTCAGAGCTACATATCAGCGTAGGGTTGCCGGCTATGGAGCCACTTCGCTTTCCTCCCTGACGGCTCCTGTCACTGCCGGGCCGGCTCGCACTCACGCAGGTCCACTGCAAAATCCATACACACGTTTGTCTCAAATTGTTCATGAAAGATTAGCCTTTTTTTGGTTTGATGAATGCTCTGTATCAGCACAAGTGCTTTATGTAATTGCTGTATAGGTTTGATGGCCTGATAGGTGCCACTTAGTCAAGCTTACGTCAGGTTCAGTCTGGGGCTGGAAATGATCACTGCAGACAGATCAAGTGTGCGAGGGGAGTGCAAGAGTGTCACAAAGTGCTTTTATGTAAATTGCAGTTGAAGAGCGGCTCTCTATTTAGACTTAAATACACGGCACTGCATACGCTACTACATCAGTCTTGGGGATGTGTCCTCTGTGACTGTGAAAATACTTTGTGTTCATATGAAAGGTTCAACACCCCTCTCTCCCAAAAGACCCCAGAGAGAAGAGATTAGACGGAGGGAGAGGGAGGGCTGGAAGGAAAACGCGGCAATCTCTTCATCATCTGTGAAAAGAAAGTAGGACACATAGTTGGGATCAAGGTCGAGGCTCAATATATAAAGATACCACTGGCTAACAGGTTCCATATCAAAGGTCAAATAAAAATGAAATGAAAGATAGCTTCTTAATATATAAAAGACGAGCTCCTGACAACAGCATGTTGTTGGGTATGGGAGAGTTGTCTTTGCTTTCTTCTTAAAAAGCAATAAATCTATTTTTTGCCCTGTGTTGCCGCAGCATATCAACAGTGTTGCGGAATCGCTCCAAAGATTGTGAACTCTTCCTACTTCCTGGATTTAATAATAGTGAAGCTGCTTGCACTAAGCATTTTTATTTATCGAGGGTTTGTTAAAGACTTCCCTGTTCCTTCCTAACTGTTGCTGTTTCGCTCCAAATTACATTGAGGATAGCTGTGAGGCTCGCTTTCTCATTCTCCTCAGTTAACACGCACTCTGTTTATATATGATTACGCGTCTCTGCTTATTTATTCTGCCTGGCTTTTTTGAATTACTCTACCGCTTTGCTTCAAGGTACAAAATGCACAAAAAAGGATCTGAGTGTGTTTTCTTTCCATCGAGAAATATTTACAGTCATTTCCCTCCTTGCTGCCGTCAAATGAGCTGATGGGAATAAACCTGCTCTCGCTCGTTCACCATTTTTGACAGTTGTTTCTGTGTTTGCTTTGCAGCGCTGCCAGTCATGCAGGTGACAATTGACATCACCAGACAGCAGGTGGAGAAGGTCTTCGGTCTGGACGAGTACTGGTGTCAGTGTGTCGCCTGGAGCACCACTGGGACACAGAAGAGCCAAAAGGCGTACATCAGGATCGCTTGTGAGTGCACTTTAAAAATGATCACCGCGTCATTACAAAGGCAAACACTGTCTAACAAGGTGCTTGCATAATGCACAGCAGTGTTTAATAAAAGCAGGTTAGCAAGAGGACTTTTTTGGTGGTTGGAGAGGGACTAAGTTTCATTTAACAATTAGCCCAGAGGCCATTATGATGTGATGCACCACAGTGTAATAGTACGATTACAATTTAGTTAAATCTCCTCCCTGTGATTCTCTGAGAAGAAAATATCAGAGGGAGACACAGAGAGTAATGCGTCTGCTTGAAGGCAGAGTGAACTCTAAATTTGAGTATTCATGAGTATATTTTTCATGGATACAGTGTATCAGCAATGATCCCTATGAAAGTAACTGGAATAAAAACAGATTTGGAATTTATCGCGGTGCAGCAATCATAAATCTGTCTGGGGAATGCAGAGACATCCCTCGCAGCAGCCTCAAAAGCTTTATTAGAAGAAGCCATTTTACATTTTAGTATTTTAAAGCATTCTGTCTATTAATTCCCACATAAATATGCAGTATTCCAGACAGAGTCGAGCACAGCTCCATCTCCAAACCACCAGATGTTTTGAAAACACACTATCATTATCCAACCTTGTTTGAGACATCAACAAAGTCAGTTAGATGCAAGATTAGGACACACACACACGCTTCATAAGGTTGCTGTAGCGCAGATATGCACATGCACACGTATACACATTCACATAGATTTAAGCCTTCCAGGACTGTTATATCCCACGTCTCCTCCAGTCCCTTTGTATCACCTTCAATTAAATCGAATGTCATGAAACTCTCTGCTCGTCTTAGCGTTTCTCTCTGTATGATTGGTCAGGACAGGCTCAACATCTGTTTAAAGGAATCCACTGGCGGCTCGCAGCCGCACCCTCAACCTCTTGCAACACAAAAACACATTGTATTGCTCTGAGTCAAAATGCGGGATTAACACGCATCAGATGTGCCGACCCGTTATCAGCAGCCTGTCTAGCTCATCAGATACAAATAGACTTGCATTTATTTTTCCCCCAAAAGAAAAAAGCTTTGCCAATTTTGCCTGCGTAATACACAACCTGCACTCACAGACAAATATTTTGCAGGAGTTGGTGAAAAAGTAAGAGTATTCAATGAGACGTAATGTGAAGCCCCATGCAGTCAGTCAGGCTTGCAGGAGCTCTTGTCCAGGCGCCTCAGGGCTTTGTTTTCATGTGTCTGCTCCAAGCCCTCATACAGATGGAGGCTGGAGGCTGCAGGATGCGGGAGAGAGCAGAATGGGTGGGAGCAGAGGAGTGAGGGGTAATGCAATTGCTTTTGCTTGATGCCGAGCCCCTCTGGCAGCAGACAAGCATCTCTGAACCAGCCAGGCAGCCTGTAATAAGCAACATGTTTGGTGCCACCGATCCCCCCGTGTGGCTTAGGGGCCAACTGGAGTGTGACACGCTCAGTGAGGCCATGGGTGGACACAAGAGTGGGAATTTTAGAGACATTCTGGTCCAAGTTTTGCGGATAACAGTATCTCATTCAAGCCTCACAAACTCAAGCGCAAATATCCTAATTGGTTGTGTTTCTTCCACCAGACCTGAGAAAGAACTTTGAGGAGGAGCCGCAGGGTAAAGAGGTGGCATTGGACCAGGAGGTGTTACTGCGCTGCCATCCCCCCGAGGGAGTGCCACAAGCCGAGGTGAGACAGGGATACAGAAGATATTTATAGGCCCACATACCGCATCCATTTACCCTTTCCTCACCAGAAGGACGAAGAGCAAAAAGTGTTTCTGGATGAGCTCCACCACGGAGCAGACAATCCTGCACGGATAAATTACGCCTCTAATTATTCCCCCTTATTGATTTATTATCTCTCACATCTCTGAGAAGCCGTATATCACATCATCTGGTCACATCACTCACTGTGGGCATGGAGGATTCACTCCTCGTTTGACATCTCTAAAGGCCTATCCATAATTAATGGCTCTATTTGTCTCAGTCTGTCCCTATCTTACTTTCTATCTCTCTGCCGTCTCTTCATGTCCTGTATCTCTCATGCACTCATACACTTCCTTGTTCTGCTCGAGTCTCCATCTCCTCGTGTCTCTGTGTATAGAGGAACAGACAGGGGCCGGCTGTTTCACCTCGCCTGTCGCATCCCAGCGCTTCCAGATAGGCACTAACTGCTCCGATAACAACCCCGGAGGAGGTCAGGCCACAGCGGCACACTAGCCAACCACAGCCGTACAGTACAGGGACAGTTTGGTGGGGTCGGATGGGGGGAAGGAAGGGGCTGTCCTTAGCTGAGCAGAAAAGAACATCAGACCAGAAGTCACCATGGAGAGAAAAAATAAAGCATGAGAGGAAGAAAGACCAATTACACGCGGCATCGCAACTGCCAATAATACCGAAAACAGCGCCGCCGTATTCTGTAGCTCCTCTCGAGACGGCACAAGGTCAAGTGAGAGCAAGAAAACAAGAAAGCCAATCTGAGTGTACACCAAAAAAATGGAATAACATCAGTTTTGGCTTTTGCGAGAGGGCATGGAAACTACATAAAGCATGATTAGGTTCGCTGTTAGACCCCCAACAGCTACAGAGTCGACTACAAAACAGCTGCGTTTTCTCAACAAAAAGAAAAAAAATATGAAAATCAGTGCGGTGTATAAATAAATGAATTCCATCACCATATGAAGCTACATTTGTTCTCCTTTCATTATCTGTGATAGCATCAGCAAAGTGCTACCTCAAAGTTTTTTGTTTTTTTCTCCATGTAAAAATCTCTCATCCGCAGCGTGTCTGGTCCCAGTAGAGCTTCGACACGGGAGGGAGGGAGGGTGCAACCTTTTTCTATTGAGATGCAGTGAATTTTTTTTTGACCGCTGAATCATATTTTCAGGTGGAGTGGCAGCGAAACGAGGATGTGATCGACCCGGCGAGCGACCCCAATTTTTTCATCGCGGCTGACCATAATCTCGTCATCAGAAAAGCCCGGCTGGCGGACACGGGCAACTACACGTGTGTGGCCAAAAACATCGTCGCTCGCAGAAAAAGCACCTCTGCCACGGTCCTGGTCTACGGTAGGTGATGACTTCATTCAGCAGCAAGTCAAAGCTCAGTGTGGAGTCTAATGAGGAGTCCGGACCCAAAGCTTCTAAATACACAAACATAAAATCTGCTTACATGTTTCTTCTGTTATCCCACCTTATTGTGTTTTTTCCTGTCTTTATTCAAGAGCGCGATTTCACGTTCAGATTTTATAATGCTCTCTCAAACAACCTGCTTGTACTTCAGTTCGTTCAGCTTCAGTTCTTCTGCTCTTATGTTCCCCAACCAATAGCAGGCCAAGTTCAGTGCTGACAAATGAATTTGTCCTGCCCTCGTTGTGAGTGTGTTACCTTTATATCTTTGACAGTCACGTATTGGCGGTTACTGTAACCGGGTTCATGCACTCCTGCCCTCCACAGCTTTGTTATTATTACAAACTCCTTCCTGTTGGTGGGCTTGAAGAAAAAATGACAACACCTTCATGGAGCAAGAGTTCTGCTGATCCCTGGTCAACATGGAGCAGCAAAACCAAGGAGATCAAGTGTTTTACGTTATATGAGAATATGAGAAGTCGCTCTCTTTCTTTCCCCCAAAAGCAAGAGTAACCAAAACGAGGGCAAAGAAATCTACGTACAGGCAAAGTATATTTACGGGTGAGGACAGGTTATTGAGTGAGAGTGTTAATCTGAACGTGAAATCAATAAATCAGGCTCTAAAACTCTTTTGAATAAAGACATCCTCTGCATGTTCTCACATGGACGACAGGAGGTTGGAATAATATATTCAGATTCCACAGAACAGCTGTAATATTAATATGCAGTGATACACATATGTGACATATGGGGACAGCTTGCAGAGGTTATCCCTCTTCTGCATCGAGCAAAGGATTACATCATCATAAATAACCACATAAAGAGATAGTAGCGTATCTGCACGTTAATTAGCACAACTTAAATGTTACTGGCAGCCGTTCTGCCAAAGCTGGCAGACTCTGATCTTGGGGTTGCCATCTTCCTCCTCCTCTGAAGTGGCTCCAATATGTGATGGAAAGTTGAATTAATAGCAAACTGTAAATAATGTCTTGGCTTGATAAGCAGACTGACCTTTATTAAAAATGCAGAGGGAAAAAAGCATAACTCCTATCACAGACGGTTCCACGGGTCCTGGCACAGCACCACAAAAGTTTTGCATACCTTACAGCCCGGTTTGATTCTCGGCTACATGCAAACAGGAAATGGAAATCACATGCATCATGAAAGCGACTTTGTGTAAGGAAATGTATAATCTGGCACGGTGGCTGCCACCTGGTCCGTCTCTGTGGAGGCTGCCAGAAAAAAGTCAATGTTATGATGCGCTGTAAAGTCAGGACAGCAATTCTTGTTTATTATCGTGTCAGTAGAGCGCTATACAGCGCTATGTAAATGTCTGCACACCTCTTTGGTTTTTAAATTTGTTCTGTTACAACTATGATTCAAAAAATTTAATTATTTAACTGTCTATATTTATCTATAAATTTAAATTATTTTATCACACAAAATTTAGTAGAACATTTGTGAAGTTCATGTGGTTTTTACTGTAAGTACTTTCCTCACTTGTATGATCTGCCAGTGGGAATTATTTGATCAAAATTCTGTATCTTGTGCTGTTCTCATTTTGAGGTTGTAGCTACTTGAATATTAACTGCTACTTAAGTTTGCAGTTACTCTGGATTTTCAGCCAACAAAACCTCTCTGTGGATTTTTCCGGTGTAAGATGAATTCAAATTTAAGAAAACATTAGCAAGTGTGAAACGTTGAGGATCATGAATACAGAGCTGTTTGATTGGTTTGGATGTATTTCAAAAATACACGTGGGTGATTTTTTTATTAGAGGGCAAGACTTCTATACTGCACACAACATATCACAGTGAGAACCCACTATTTACTTTTGTGTTGATTTGTATTTGTGCTCTTTATTCTATAATAATATAATATATGATGTAACTGTTTATTATATATAAGTCCTAACCAGTGTTAGAGAAGGGACATACATAAAAGTACAAATAAACGTAAAAATGTACTTAAGTAAAAGTTGCACATTAACTTTTCTGCTTGAATAATAGTAAGTAATTGCTTTCTGTTAAATATACCTAAAGTCTTGAACCCAAAAGTAGTTTTTGAGTGTAGCCTACTCCTGAATGCCGAAGTAAACTTCATCATTATGGCTGGCGGGTTCTAATGTTACCTACTTGCTCTGATTGGATCAGTGGACCAATTTGCTTATTTATAAATTTTAAAAAATGATGCGTGAGCTGTGCAGAATGTCTTGCCTTTCATTTCAGCGCCCATGTTATCAGGTCAGAGCAGCCTTTCTGAGCAACGCTGCCAAGTCGGGGTCTCACCTATTTACTTTTATTTTCACACGCCGCAAGGTTCACAGCAAAATAGACAGAGGAAATGATCTTTCACCACAGTTTCAATGTTTATCTGTTGAATATGTCACAAACAGGAATATTACCAACACTTCCTGCCTTTGAAAGCAACAGCTCTCGAGTGTTTTTGTTGACTGAATCCATTCATTTGTTTTAACAAGGTTTTGATTGTTATTGCAGGACTGGAAGATGCATGACTTCACACCATAGAGTCCTGGTATTCAGTAGAGTACAAAGGCTACTTTTTATCAGAGGACATACTGCGGTCCTACCATAAACCCAAACAGCAGCTCTACAGCAGACACGCGTCACTGTGTGACAAACTACTGATCAGCTACGTGTATCACAATGTTTTGTACATTTGAAGTAGAAAGTACAGATATTTGCTGATATATTTAGTGGAGTAAATTAAAGTTATGTACCGAAACATATACTTAAGTAAGAATATTATTAAGAATATTCACTTCCATAGCGAATGGTTTCAAATGTATTAATTTGGAGCATGCGTTCAAAAGAACAGGCATAATGACACACACTCCTCCAAGCCTCCAGCATAAGAATAAGAGCACAATTAATCTTGGTGTTGATTATAAATGATTAGCTTGTTGTTGAAAGCCCCGCTCTGCACATGAAGAAATCCAGATTTGAAGTGAGTGTGGAGGCAAACGCATTCACGCTCCTATTGTTTGCCTTTTTTTATGTCGTCAAACATTCAACAAACAGTTTTCACTCTGAAGACCCAAGAAATTCTGAATAAATTGCTCGGGTGCTTGCATGTGCAATTTCATTTCTTCCCATCATGCTTTGCGCTTGACAAAATGACAATTGCAGTATTTCAGGTTGCATCATACAAGATGTTTTGTTTAAAAAAAAGATGTATTACTGCTATTCTCCTGTCTCTCTGTTGCAGAGAGAATTAATTTATTTAGCTGAGAGCATCACAGTCCAGCGAGATAGCTGATCCAGCTAGCTGTAGCAAGTCATAATAAGTGCTACTTTTCAAAGTGGGGTTCAACAGGGGGTCAGAGATGCATTTTAACAAGGCCTGGCTGGTGTGACTGCACTCTGTGATAAGAGGTAATCAGGGGCCGAGTTGCCTGGTAATTTACCTCGCTGTGGCGGGCAATCAATCGCACAGAGAGGGCAAGGAAATGATTCAGCCACGACAAGCACAGGAGAGAGTTAGAGGGAAATTAGGAAAGGAGTATGTACGGAGAAGGAACGAGTGCTGTTCGAGTCAATAAATCAGGAATCGCGCTGTCTTGTAAACGGGAGCAAACACAGTAGATACAGGAAGGAGCTGGTCAGAATTAAATCAGTATGATTTTTATGTAATCACCTGCCATGATCGAGCGATATGCTATGAATTATGTGCCAATAAATGTTTTTTGAATTTGAGAACATGAGCGGCTGGTACAGCAAATTATAGGAATTTAGCATGCAGACTTTATGAACTGCCTGAACTTCAGTCTCAAATATAAGGGGAAAATAAATTATACAGTGTTCAGAGAATACTTGAGATTGATGGATGACATGTAATGGTATAAAATCAGTAGTGGACTAGAACAACCTATAATGTTACATATTTAAGTTTTAAGTTTTAAATATTTGTTGTGTTTTATGAGTATGAGCACTGAGATTTCAGTGGTATTTCTGAACTGGGATTATATTCAGATTTTTTTTGGAGGGTTTTGTGTAATGTCCTTGGTGAAATTTGGAGTGATATTTAAAAAATCTACTAGTCTCTTTGCAGCAACTTTAGCTGTGTCTCAAAAACAAGGGGTATGAAAACTTTATTGTCGTGTCCAATTTCAGCTATGTTGCTAGACACCAGCAATAAGGGCAGGACAAGCTAGTGTCGCTGATCACAGAAAGCTTCTGTAGACCAGACCATTTCATTTCGGTTCGGCCTTCGTGAAGGACGCGGTCTACCCAGCCCACGAAGATCCCCTCCTTCGAGGGCCGGGCTGAGCGCATTCTCTGTAAGATGCAGTCTCTAAATTGAGACACAGCTTGTGTCCTTGAGGAGATAAAGTCAAAATCAGTTTGGTTGCAAATACAACATGGACACAGGAAACAGCCCTCCCACCCCCCATCCTCTGCTCTTGCTCTTCAATGTGTCCACCTCGCAGTGTTAAACCAACAAGTGTAACAGCACAGTCACAATTAATCTTGCGCAACACACCTCTACACCGCAGTGCATGTCGGGTAATCCTGGCTGCTCTGTCCCTTCATCCATCCATCCCCCTCCCTTCCTCCAACCTCCTCCCTCCTTTACCTCTCCATCCACCCCAAACCCTCCGGCGCTGGTCTGACAGTCAACGGCGGCTGGTCCACGTGGACCACCTGGTCGTCCTGCAGTGCTGGGTGCGGGCGTGGCTGGCAGAAGAGGAGTCGGAGCTGCACCAACCCCACGCCACTGAACGGAGGCACATCCTGTGAGGGGCAGAACGTCCAGAAAAGTGCCTGCGTGGCCACCTGTCCAGGTAACTCCCAGGCAACCCTGTTTGTCCTGTGGCGCTTGGCTTCCTGTGGCTTCCTTATTGCATTTTCTTTGCATCTAGAAGTCATCAATTCATTTTTATGTTGGCTGCCCTTTACTACCAGCACCTCCACGTCTTTTCTTAGATGTCAGTGCTTCTGTTTTGTTTTCCCGCAATTAGATCACTTACACAGCAACGTCAAAGCCTATTAGTCTTCACAGCAAGGCGTCATCCTGAAAGTGATTTATTATCATCACGCTTTGTTCACATATCTCTTTATCTTCTGCTCTTGTACGCAGACCCTGCTTTTATATAGACCTGTCTGCTTTAAGAGACATGGTCCCTGCCATGGCGTTGTGTCAGACCAGCTAGAACATTTGTTATTGTTTGCTGCTCAAGCTATGTAGTAAATATTGGCAATAAAAAGCTGAATTATGGCAGCCTGTGTGCCATGTTTACGTGTGAGGAGTTGAGGGCGTTTCATTTGCCTGTCCGCTCTCCCTTGTGAGCGCGTAAGAGAGGCAGAGTGCCCTGCCTGATACTGAGCAACACATATCGATCCCTGCTAGCCTGAGATGGAAGTCAAGCTGCTTCATTTGCAGTCCCGCATTAGCCCCCTGACAGAGGGAGAGATAGCGAGAGAGAGAGAGAGAGAGAGACCAGGAGGTGTAAGGAGGAAGCAGGGATAGAGACAGATGGAATCAGATACAGTGTAAGGACGGCATGAACAAAGCCCTGAGTGAGAGAGCGAAGAGGACAACTGAAAACGAAGGAAAGAAAGCATGAGTGCGTAAGAGAGCTGGCTGGGGCCTGTCAGCAGATCAGTCTGTGGACATACTCTGTCGCCGGGGCACTGCAGCCATGCTGACCGCAGGAGAAATCTCCCACGCTCAGTAAATAGCAGAAAGGGAAATCGAACACCTCTGGCAGTGGCAGCTTCTCCCTGTCTAAAACAAAGGTTATCTCCCTCAGTGAATCATGGTGTTGTGTTACACATCTCCCATGTAAAGACATCACTAGATGTCAAGCATGAGTGTAAGTAACATGGCCTGCTGGAATACAGCAGCAGGAGGAGGAAGACAAAGGAAACAGAGAAATGTGCAACGCTCTGTTAGGACGCGTTCTGGACAGATTTGGAATTATTAGCGCTGGAGCAATGAGTAATGGAATTACAGGGGTGTCCAGGGATGCTTGACATTCCCCCACAGCAAAGCAGGATACTGACCTCCATGAGCTTAAAGAGATTAATGTCAGTCCGAGCTATTGTTAGACTGAACCCCACTCTCCTCGGTCTTTCTCTTGCCCCGCAAGGAGAAAGTGTGTAATTTCAACCCTTAGGGTGCTGTGACAGAAATTGCATTGTGCCCTGTGAACACAGTTTGCACAGACGTTGGGAGTAAATGAACTCCTCTTCTTTTCCCTCTTTGATGAGGATCGCCACACCAACGTGACCCCCCTGACACCTCTATCAGTCCTGTTGTGGGCTCCGAGGGCTCTGCCTCCACTTCTCTCTCGTTACCTGTCTCAGACGGAGCATCAGTGGCACAGACAGCCGCAGCTGTCTGCGCCCAGCGAGGGTTCCCCTCAAGGCCAAAGTCCGCCACGCCAGAGTCAGGGGGGTGATGGGCTGTTGTTTCCAATCACAAGTTGCACAGTGGCTCTGTTGTGTACTCACAGACATGCCTCCAAAAGCCCCCGAGATGAACTGACTCCTGCCATCATTTGTCCTCTAGCGCACACACACACACACACACACACACACACATAGCCTAGCAACAACAAGCCCCAAATACATCCAAATTCTCACTTTGATTCATCATATACATGATTAACACATATATGACTCATCGGCCTGAATAGCAGCTCTCATGTAATAGTCACGCATGGTCAGCGAGGGGGAATAGATGAGACCAGTCTGGCAGAGAGTATTCTTCAATGCTAGATAACAACTTTAATTATCACTGCACTTCAGCCTCTGTAGGTCTGATCCACTACATGTACAGTACAGATTTCATCCCATTTCAGAAGAAAGAGTCTGGAGGAAAATGAATAGCATTGGGAGCTGTAATGCTGCAGATAGACACCATGTTATTTATTTAGGCACCGTTGACATTTGGATTCAGAAGTAGTGTTCTTTTATTTTTTAACTCTGCCTTGAGACGCATTTTTTTCCTCTACAGTGCCTTTCTGTTTGACGAGGGTTATAAAAGTTGCATGATTTAATGCTGGTCTTGTTTCAAAAGTTCATTAATTATCTAGACAGAGAGTCTTTGTTGATTATTAGCTCTCTAGTGCATTTAACTTACAACATTAGATCTTTGAAATGGGTTACAGAAAAATATACAATATTTTTCTTGCTGCGTATTCTGTGTAATTTGCAGCTACAGTCTGTTTCTGCTGTGTCTAAAACACACACTGATGGATTTGCCGTACTCCTCCTGGGGGAAAAAAGATGCTGTCGACTGAATGAAAAATCACTGGAAACTAATCAGTTTAAATTTGGAAGCAACAACATGCAGAGGCTATAATTTCTCTCTACGTTTGCCCGGCTGAGTCTATATATAAATGTTTTGTTACAATGCCGATGGCCATGTGTTGTTCCACATATGAAAAGTAGCATGATCCCTTCAGTGTAGTGCTGAGCTACAACCACAGAGGCATATATTCATGCACGTTCACTTCATGCGAGCTTCCACAGACTGACACGGTCAACACCAGCCTGTTCAGCAGCAGAACTCTCCACATGTCTGTTCACGATGACTCTTGTATCGAAATGGGAGCTCTGCACCTCTCATCAGGAAAATGTGAAGCCAGAGAGGTTCATCTGTATTTTTGTCTGTCTCCAAAGTGTTTAATGAGAGTTGGCGGAGGCCTATGTGGCAGATCAGATGGGCTCCATGCTGGGAGAGACTCAGGGAGCTGTGGAGGAGGAGGTGAAGGAGGAGGAGGCGGCAGCGGCTGAGGCTAAAGCCTGAGGCTCAGAGCAGAGCAGATCAACACTTGAGACAGCTAGTAGCCACACTATGCAAGAGCTTAATCTCCATTTCTCTCTCCTCTCCCTTCTCCTTTTTCTTTTGTCTCCATCCCATTGCATCCCTCGCTGTTGTATTCCCACATAATTCTGCAGTCCATCCAACACCTCTGCCCCGGCACTGACTTGTGGTCAGAGCCAACAGTCGGGGCAAAATGTCAAATCATGCCAATGTTTCCAACAAAAATAACACGAGTCTTGCCAACAACAAATGGGTAGACCCCAGTTTTGGAGGCGGCACGGTGACACCTACCTCACACAAATGACTTGAACAGTTGCCTGATGTGTTAGCAAGCTGCGAAACAACCCAGAGAAATTTTCTAATTCGTGCAAATTATTTAAATATTAAACGGATCCCTCCGGCTTGCCAGGGGAGTCGTGAGAATTCTACGAGATGGAAAATAAACAGACTCGGGGCTGGTGTATTTTTGCACATGCACTTTTAAGTGTGTGTTCGTGCATGTGTGCGCCGTGTACGAATGCAAGTTCGAGACCATATGTCTGCTGTCTGCACTGCAGGCAAGTGGCTAATTCTACGTTGTAAGTAAGCACTTGTGCATGTGCCTGGATATTATCAGAGATTGTTCTGGTGACTACATATTTTATCCAAGGAACAGAGGCTGTGGCTAATAAATGTGACAGAAAAACACATTAGTTCAGTGTGAAAAGATGGTGGCCATCTGGTGACAGCCTTGCATCAGCGCCGTTATTAATCATTTGGTGCCATTTGTTTTGGCTCACCCTCTTCATATCTCATTCTGTCTCATTCTGGTTTGTTCTACTGGTTCAGTTAACAGAAGGTAGTAGACTGCGCCTCATTCACTTATCAATCCCATACTATTTAATCAGTATATCTGTCAATAACAGGAAGACAAAATAGAATGTGTCAGAGTTAAAGAATAAGATTTGGAAAATAATCCCAGTTGCATCAGCCACTTCTGTGTCTAAGCTATCAACCCACTCAACGGGTCTTGTCTATGGCTTTTTTTCCCATCAGGCTTTGAACATGGGGATTAGGGAGGTTACTGTGCACACATACGTGTTGACAGGACAGTGGGAGCAGAGGGGCGGCCCGCTGGTCTCAGTGGTGCTGTCTACCTCCTCATGCTCCCCTCAAGGACACAGGAGCTGTGGGTGTCCAATGATCTCGGTCTGTGTCCATCAGCAGTCATTGTCATTTTGAACAGCGGAGCCTCAAACAGGCCCTCCCACTGACCTGCGAAGAATGGTCGTGTTCCTTTTGCTTCCCGCCTTGACAACAATGTCCAAATGGGGGCTTGTCATTTGGCTATTGTATTACCGTCCCTCCTCGGAGACCTGCCTGACCTAAAACCTGTGGTGCTGCAAGATTGAAAATCAGCTGCGGTGCCTTTTGCAGCAGCACTAACAATCTCTCTCTGGGGATTTGATAAGAAAAACTGCAGCTGTGGATAACAATTTTCTAATGTGGATTTCTGAAGAAAAAAAAAAAAGGAAAAGGACAAGGTTTGTTTTTGATTTCAGTTTGAAATCTGGAGAAGAGGAAATCAAATAAATAGCCAACTCTTTCTCTTCACTGCTGTTATTGTAAACACTTACTGTTTTGCCACTTCTTATAATAATGTCCAAACATGTCTTTGGTCTCTGCCTGCCCTGAAAAGCCTCCTCTGCCTCATCATTCCTACATATGTCTGAGTCAAACAGGCCATCAAGGACTATTTATGCATCTTCATATTTCTTTGATTTCCCTCGGCCTGGTTGTGGCAGTGCTTGTGCCTCATCCACATTCTCATGAGCAGCGCCCAGTTTCCACTCCAATCTCCTTGTTTGAAAATGTTATTTGCATGGACATTAGTCTTGCTTTGTGCTGGAAAAGAGAAGTAGAATTTCATCACCTCATCAGGGCAGATGTTGATCTCATCTCTTTATTTCACAGTGGTGTGGACAAACTGAGGGGTGACATAATGTATTCATTAGGATGTAATTCGCTATTCAATCATTCTCATTCCCAGCCTGGATAATCAGCCCACTGGCCCACGGATGGGTCCACTCAATGCCAAACAAGGACAATTATCTGATTGGTTCTGCTCTCTCTGCCAAATGGATCTGACTGCAAAAAGGCCTGAGCTGTGTCAGCATCCCACCACACACAAGCACACACACATACACACACACTATAGAAATCCTTTTAGAACACACATGGAGAAACAGGCGAGAAATGTGTTCTAGAGGGGTCTAATTTTCACACCTGAGGCTCAGGTGCAAAATGCTCACAGCGGTTTTTAGCCGTTCTTCCAATTTGGGACTGAAATCATGACTTTGTACAGTTATGCAATTATACAGTAGGTATCTTACCACCAGTAACATCCCACCATCACACTTATGTTTTATTAACCAAAGCCTCAGACCAGCAGCAGGTCAACCCATCTCTCTGGGGGTCATGACCCCTGCACTTTTTATTGCTAGGATTAATGAGCAATAAGATGTTCCTTGCCCTTAGGTCAGTCAGGAGGAAGGTTGCTGCTGTCATAGATGTGTGCATGCATGTCGTGTGTGTGTGTGTAAGAGAGAGAGAGAAACCATCTCTGGCGAATCTCGTCTGGTCCCATTCACCTTTTACATTTGGGAGAAGAAAAAAAACGCCATTGTCTCGGTTTTTTTTTGCTCCCATGAGAGCTCATTACTGCTCTTTTTCCCCTTAGCCCTATGGCAACCCTTCCCCAGGCTTGGCGCTGTGTCGCTCTCAAAATCAGCCCCTCCTCCACCACCACTCCCACCCACCCTTGGACACTGTGGCAAATTACCCCCACCTTTGCAAAATGGCCTCCCCGCTCGGTGTGTGGTAAAGCTGCAGATATTTCTCACAGCGGTGCACGCTCAGAACTATTACAGGCCAATTTCCATTTGTTTCATTTTTGCTGCCCGTGCTGATGGTGGTGGTTTGTTTAAAGTTATATGCCGTGGCTGCAGGTGCAATGTACCAGTATCCATCTCTGGTAATACCCGTATTGTCTCTTGCATTCAGCTGCACCGCCGGTAATGCTCGTGTTGCTACAGTAACAGCTTGTTTGAGAAAGATCTCCAAACCGAGGCAGATTTGCTCTTTCTCAAAAATGTTTTAAGGAGAATTTTTAAATAGCATGTGTATGAATAGCATGTTTAACAGTAGACTAGTGGGCTGATTTCCCAGGGGTCAAATTTCTCTCCCTCTACATATTTCTGTTGACAGCTGGGTCTACCAGGCCACAGCACCCTTTTCCACAACGTACCAATGGGGTTTAGCTTAGTTGCATCTGATTTCCATGTTGAAAATAAACAAAGAAAGTAGAATAGTGACAATATGGCTCCCCTCAAATGTTTTACATGTTTTGGTTTCTCTGTTCATCTGCTGGATTTCAGTGTGTGCAAGTAGATTTGCATGTCTTTTATAATGCTTTCCCTACCAGGTTTCCATTTTAGAGTGAGTGAATTTGCACAGGATGGCAAGAGAGTTTTCCACCAGTTGTTCTCATCTCACACGCAAATACACCACTGCTTTTACACCAGCGTTCTGTACTCCTCAGCACTGCACTGTTTGTAAAAAAGAAGCTATAGCTTGTTTTATAGAAACTGTTCAGCATGACTTCCGATCAATAGTTTATCCCTTGAACTAAAGCATGGGTTTTGAGGGAATCAGTTTGGGTTTTTTGCTGCTGCGCGTGTGTGTGTGTGTGTGTGCTCGACTCATGTTTCTATATTCTGTTTCTTTGCAGTGGATGGCGGCTGGAGCGAGTGGAGCAAGTGGTCAGCGTGCGGCGCCGACTGTTCGATGTGGAGGAGCAGGGAGTGCACCCAGCCCTCACCTGGCACAGGGGGCAAAGACTGCCAGGGGCTCGACCTCCAGTCTCTCAACTGCACCAGCGAGCAGTGCCCACAGAGTGAGTACACTGCCACCCACCTGCTGCAAACCATACTCTCGCTGCTCAACTCAGTGGAACAATAGGAAAGATTCAGGATCACAAAACATTTTTCTGGAACAGGATCGACAAAGTTCTGTATTTGCCTCATATAACTCAGCTGCTGCAAAGGAACATTATGAAATCAATACATGTGTTCGAAACAACATCGGAGAGTTGCATCTAGAAAAAACACAATATTTTCTAATAATTAAAAAGAAGTGTGAGACCAATATGTAAAAAAGAATCTAGGAATAATACACATGATTGTTCAGTCTTGCAAAGATCATCAGATCATCAGTTAGCCCCGGAGAAGGAAAAGGCTTTGCCCCTCATCTTTCATTCATACTTCTTTGATTTTATTTTCTGCGAGAGGGTCCTCCTCTTTTTATCAGATCAAATAAACATTTAATGTCTCCTTATAGTGTCAGCTTCCACCGATAGAAGGTTCATAAAGGAAATATGTCCATCTCATACGACCCTTGTACCGACAGAAATCGTCAGCGGACCCCTTCCTGGCTTGTTTCCACTTGTTTGACCTTTTCAGACAATCCGCTCTAAATATCACCAGTATGGCACTTGCTGCAGAGATAGTATGCAATCTTTTCTCCTGTGCCTGCACCGTGATGCTCTCTGACCTATTAATAGAGCTGAGAATTAAAGCATCCCTCTTGTGATTTAAACACAACCTGCCAGATAAAGTTCTGCTGGCAAATCACCCGTGAAAACACAGACATGGCTGGCGTGCATTTGTGCTGTGATTTTTCTCAACATTACATTTATTTGGTGTGCATATACATATGTAGCTGCATAGCCACTGTGTATTTCTTTATGTTGTATGGGAATCAGCCTCTGCTGTGTTTTGCCGCCCCACACGTGTCATTAATAGGGCATGTGCGTACTGTCAGGATGAGAACACGCAAACCTTGCACAGCCCGAGCTGGCAGACTGAGTGGAGAGTGCCACCACAGGGTCCGCTGTCGACCAGATGGACATAAAGGCACAGCTCTGTCGCTCCCCACAGATATCAAAGACTGAAAGATATTGCAGCTTCCCATCCAAAGATGATGAGTCTCGGGGTGGCATCTCATAAGGAAAATGTTATTAATAGTGCAGCTGTTTGGATGACCTGCATGGAAAAGACTGTGTTTTAATGGGATGCAGTTGACACAGGCCAGTGAATTAATAAACTGAATTATGTATTTTGCACTGATTGACATGATCAGATAGACTGATGCATGGAGAGCTAGCATCTGAGTGATACTGTATGCGAATGATGCCCTGTGTATTCATACATACATGTGAATGTGTTAGCAGTGTGTGCAAGTGTGTGTGTGTTTGTGTGTGTGTGCATGCATGCGAGTGTTGCCACCAATAGCTGATTATGGCTGGTGCAGTGAACCAGGGAGCTCAGTCAGCCCATCATCAAAGGTCAGCAGCTCCTCCCCAGAGAGGCAAGATATATACACAAAGATGCCAGTCATTGTTCCTCACATGTACACACACACACACA